TGCTCTGACTGACTACTCTTTCTCGGAGTGACATCGGTTTGGCTGACGACTGACAAATTGGGGAGTTGAGGGATTTAAGGGAACCAAAAGACTTGGGTGATCCACTCTCCTCCAACAGGGAACTCAGTTTGTGTTTCTTTATGGAACGAAGATTCTGAAGTTAAAAAAATATATTTTACTTTAATCAAAGCATACTGCATCAATTCATTTAAAAAAAAATATCATATGACCTAAATTCATCGTGTATTAAACAGTCATAAATAATGGCTTCTAGAGGGCCTCTGGCATTCATTTTCAATAGGTTTAAATTTCAGCTTCTTACTTTCATTTTCTATAGGAATAAATATCACGTTTTGACTTTCATTTTCTCTAGGTATATGTCTAAGTTTTTTGACTTTCATTTTTCTATAGGAATAGATTTAGGCTTCTGATTTTTGTTCCCCCAAACATGTTCTTTCATCTATCAATGACAATGATCAGAACAAACTTAATCTAGCCCAATAAAAGTTATGCCCCAAAGTACAAGTTAATTCAAAGTCCTTACATTTGTACAGTAATTACTTGTATAATACTTACAAATCCTAGATTACTTTTGAGTGACAATATTTGACCAGGTGTCCTGAGGTTACCAGCCATTTTACTGTAGGGGAGGGGAGTCCCCTGTGTTTCTGGTGGGACACTCCCTGTGTAAAAAGAACATCATCCCAACTTATGTATAATGTTAACAATAAGATCATCAACCTGTATGTTTTTATTATAGAACCATTCCCAGGTGAGCGTGGCCTTTCAGTAAGGCATTGCATTCTCAGCGCTACGTAATTAGTGTCTGTCAAATGGCAAATAACTTCTCATTGGTTAAGAATTAACATCAGGAACATTAAATTGTTGTTGACAATGATGAGACGACTTAAGCTCCACCTCTTTGCCTGACAAGAAAATGTTACTGGTAACTGTAGATCACTAAATTTTCGCTACACCTTATTTTCGCAAGATAGTCATTGACTCTTGATTAGCAATACAAAATTTTCACGAATTGTGGTTATTGCTCTATATAATCTTAAGGAATACTATCATACGCGAGAATTTAATTTTCGCGAGCACAATGGCTCATGTAATTACGCGAAAATAAAGTTCTCGCAAATAAAAAGTGATTAACAGTATTCGATACACTAATTGGTATTTGCCCGAATTTTTATCCCATGTATATTTCAACAGTTAATGAAAACTGTGTAAATTTCAGAAGCTAATTATGTAACTTCGAGAAAGCCATGCCTTAAAGTTTTCTTCTAGTTTAGCAATGCATTGAATAACTGACATAAAATGGTGATTTGCAAATATTTACCCTATAATTTTCAAACTATCCAGAGGGCAAATTTCATTTGAGGGATCACATATTTTTGCAAATTTATCTTTTATATAAAACAAACACAGAATCTCCATCAAAGATCTCCATACTTACCATCATCTAGGTTAATCTTAGAGAGTCCAAAATCTGTCAGTTTCAGGTGCCCCTTACCGGTAATTAACATGTTGTCAGGCTTTAGGTCCCTGTTAGGTTAATCAAAATGCTAACTTAATAAAAACACAAATGTATTTATTAACTTAACTATTTTGCTAAAAATTAATGTAATTTGAGAATGTTGAGAGAATAATTCAATATATTAAATCATCTTTGAATTTCTTTGAATTTTTATTGTGTGGATAACTCTTCCACACACAAAAACTTCACACACCTGAAAATAAATTGTTCACCTGTGAATAACTCTGACATATCATGTGGATAACTTTCACACCTTTGGATAACACTCTCACCTTTGGAAAAACTCAAATACGAGCTGGCAAAGCAGACACCAGTCTTTAATTCATTTATACATTTGCAGTCAACTCAAACATCTGTGTATAACTCAGGCAACTGTGAAAAACCCTCATGCTTATAAATCGCTAACATTTTGGATAACTCACTTATAGCTTAGTTAAACACTTATGATATTTTATACTCTTGTAGATAATTTACATACCTGTGTATGATTCCATGAGAATGTAGATATTGCAGAGCCAGGGTAACTTCTGCTGCATATATCTGAGACATTTCCTCATCAAAATAACCATAGACAGCCAACAGACTCTTAACATCCCCACCAATCAAGTATTCCATTATCTATTAACATATTACATGTAGAAAATTTACCGTAATAAGTTTCATTCTTTTACAATTGACACCCCCTTAATTCTAGTTCTTTTAGTATTGCTGGTTGATTCTAAGAGAGACATGCATCACTCATTCTTAAAACACCTAACATTCAAAAGTGGGTGTACATGTTAATATCTTCACCTAACATTCAAAAGTAGATGTACATGTTAATATCTTATTCTGCTGTGATTGAGAGAAATCTCCGGACATTATTAGATGGATAAAGAAAACTGTGAGTCACTGTGACATGTAGACTGTATACTTACCAGGAAAATGTTATTCTGAGATTGCAGGGAATAGTAAAGGTGTACAATAAATGGGCTGTTGGATAAAGCTAGGGCATCTCTCTCTGTTAACACTGAAATACAACACAGTATATAACAATGAATGGACTGTTGGATAAAGCTAGGGCATCTCTCTCTGTTAACACTGAAATATAACTCGATATATAACAACGAATGGACTGTTGGATAAAGCTAGGGCATCTCTCTCTGTTAACACTGAAATACAACACAATATATAACAATGAATGGGCTATTGGATAAAGCTAAAGCATCTCTCTCTGTTAACACTGAAATACAACACGATATATAACAATGAATGGACTGTTGGATAAAGCTAGGGCATCTCTCTCTGTTAACACTGAAATACAACACAATATAACAATGAATGGACTGTTGGATAAAGCTAGGGCATCTCTCTCTGTTAACACTGAAATACAACATAATATATAACAAAGAATGGACTGTTGGATAAAGCCAATGCATCTGAAATGGAATTCTATACAAGTTTAAATAATGGCCAACATGTACAATTTTCTACACATTTAGATTCTGATGACTGATAGTAAAGAAGCTGATTAAGGCATGAAACAATACTTGCATGTCATTAAAGGCCGAGGTTTTTAACCGTACGGTTTTCCTCAGGTAAGTTTGGTGTGGGGTGGAGCTTAATAGAAGCGGCTGAGAAGCCCCGAGGGAACGACGCTGGCTTGTATACACTACCTATATACACAGGATGTTACCTGAGTGTATTACCTGTATTGGTTTTCCCACGACTTTGTAAACCGAGGCCGTTTTTTTCAAGTTTAGCTCATGAATTGAAATGCGAAATAAAGCATTTTTCTGGTTGCAGACAAAATCCTTCTCAATTTCTTTCTTTAAAAATAATTGATATTTTTAATAATTCGACATTTTTATATACAGTGTGTTTCTTAATTAAGTGTTATAACGAAAATACATTAAGCACCAAAATCTGTCGTTGTAATCTGGCGACAAAAAGGGAAGTAATTCAATTACATATCGTCTACGCAAAACGAAAGAAGAAAGTGAATCATAAAACAGTCTCTCGGTAAATAACAATGAAACTTGGAAACGATGTTTTGAGAATAAAATGTTGAAGTAGAAATATTATTGTCTAAATAAATCTCTTTTTAAGATAAACCCTTCTTGATTTTTCCATAACGCATGTTCGGTAAAAATGGCTAAAGCTTCGGACCGGGGTTGATTCCCCAACAGCTACATAAAACGGGAATGGAATCATCTGCATCGTTTTTTTTTCTTTCGGAATTCATTAGTAATTTCAAACATTAAATACAAAGCAAGATGTTATATTCCAAGTAATTTCTCTTCTAAAACTTCTTATTATACAGTAACTTCGTCACCAGGTCTCGAAGAAAAGCGACACGTATACGTACAGGTTTGTCTTATAAATATAAATTTATTCGCTTGACTCATGTTGGAACAATGTTACAATGTTGTCATACTTGTTTTAAAAAATAATTTTATTTAATTCCATGATACTAGCTTCAAACGCAGGTCGGTTTATTTTGTTAATTAATGGAGGAATAAATGTACGTTAACTCATGTTTTGACACGGAAATTAAAATTATCGATTGTAATCGTGATATGAAATCCTCCTCTTTTAAATTTAAATTTATAATATATATTATACAGCCATGATTTTTCTTGTCATTTATTTAATTATTTAATAGATTGATTATATTTATGGCATATTCTTATGAATTAAAAAAAACCCGATTTGATTGCTTCTTTATCACGTTTGCATGTGCTGTAGGCATCAAAACATCAAAAGCCTGAAAGTTAATTCGATGGTCGGTACGATCTCCAAACAAGGTACACAAGATATACACAACAGCAGCAAACTAAATGTCAATCAAATCAAAGTATCCAATCCCAGGCTTCATTTTAGATGATTGACAGGGGTTCTAAGACCAGGTAAATTTGAAGGAGGTGCTTATTTCCTCCCCCTTTAAGTAGATGAATACAATCAAACAGATAAACATTAAGATAATTTAACATTGTTAATTAGTTTACTAGGATCATAACAATGACAAAAGCTTCCAGTGAGTTACTCAGTATGAACTAAGGCATGACACTAGTAAAGCTTCTCTTATTGTACAATAATACATCAGTTACACAGAACCCTTTACCTTGGCTCACCAGATTCTTGTTAACCATGTCGGATTTCTTCATCACCTTGATGGCATATTTCTTGTTTTCTTGATTTTTCTTGTGTCCCAGAAATACTTTCCTTCAAGTTGGAAAAAAATGATTGTCTATTCAATTAAATTAAAACAAAGTGAAACTATTTTCATTGTAAATATAATTTGTCCTTTTTTTTATTTCTAATAATGCTTATCATGCACAATATAACACACATATTTATGTATCTTAGTTGACTTCATAATGAATAATGGATACATACTATCAACACAATAAACTTAGGAATAACACTGTGAAGTTTACATGAAATAAAATTATATAGGAATACACCAAGTATTTAATATAATAGTAAAAATTCATTCAAGAAAATTTATCAAAATCTCTATCGTAGAAATAATGTGACAAAGTAGCCTCACCAATTAAAGAAACTTTATTAACAGCGATTAATTGCATTGAAAAGGAATAGTGCTGTTGTTGGCATTTCACTATTTACAGAGAGATAATTCTTACCCAAATGCCCCTCTGCTGATTGGCTTCAGAAAAACAAAGTCCTCAATCGATGTAGGCTAAAATGAAGTTACATACATGTAACATTTTAATTAGCCTAAACATTATGTTTTCCTTTCATTAAAAAATCAAAATTCTTGAAACTCTGTTACGTTAGATCTTCTTAATCAAAACAAAAAACAAAAACATGTAAACCCAAGCCTAGACTCTAGACACTCCCTCAGTGCGTCTGTCCCTTGCTTCATTGTTAAGAAATAATATAAACTAAACTGACATCAATACTAGTAGCTGGAGTCAGTGCTATTCTCTCTAGAGAAGTGGACAGACCATCGCCTAAATCCCCATGTCCACTTTTCTACAGGAAATCAATAGGTCAGTGCCTCTAGTGCTGTCTAAAATATCCAAAATACATTCATCGATTACGTTTATGCATGATTCCCCGACTAACCTTATCTGGAAAACTTCCAGGTTCTTTATGCTCTGTGTCCTCCATGTTCACATCTATTTATTAATTGTCTACATGATGTTTTTATTCATAACAAAGATTGCTTCCGAGTTTACTTTTTTCGTATTTGGTGGCATAATGGATACAAAATCTACCTCCTTTAACTGGAGAGTCACATTAGACGGTTTCAAGTCAAAACGACTCCTATACATGTTGAACCCGTGCGTAAGCATACCCACGTTCCATACATAAAATCGCCACTTGCAATCCTCCTCATATTATTCAAATGTTGCTTAAAATGATGCAAATGACTAAAATGAATGATATTATAAGGGGTTTTTTTAAATGTTGATCATGATTAAATTGATGGCTAAATATTTAAATAAAAGTAAATGTCTCAAATAACATTTTTCAATATTATTACACGGATAACAAAGTACATTTTATTCCACAAATGAATAAAAACATAACCGATGTTGTATTACTCTTGGTGCTTCTTTATAAAGTCCGAGTAAAACAATCATCCTATTTTGATGACCGCGCGCGTGTGATTTTCTTTTTGTTTTTCAAAATATATTTGCGAAAAATTATAATTTGCCAATTCCCAACCCCAACTAACCATCCTTATAACTACATCAAAGTGTACATGAGGTAATCCAACTTATATACCCATACATGTGGCTCTCTTTCTAATGAGGTCATTCTCCAAAACCATTTGTCACTTTTGAATTTATTTTTTTGTATATATATTCTCAACAACCAAAATTAATTTGAATAACTATATCTAGTTTTATATATTGGATTCTGAAAATTCATACAAACAAAGATACATAGCGGTTTCTGGTAAATGCTCTACCGAGTCTCTTTCTTTATTCCTCACTAAAATATTTAAACAGAAATGAATGAGAATCTTTTAGTGTAGTTTAACAAGTGGTGTAAATACGATCTGAATAGCAGCTTAAAATCTCTCAGGCGTTCTGGAAAATTTGAAATCACAAAATTTATGAAAATCAAATCGATAGCATAACAACACGTCCCCACGATGCATTAAATTCCAGGCTTTTTTGACATCTGCTTTTTCAATAAAAATGGAACGCGTAACACTATATGTAACTTAACTTACATTACTTTCATCGGTCATAAACTAAAATTCTTTTGTTTAAAACCATTTTTGTTATACACACAAGTCCGCAGAAGTTGATATTAAAAAGTGATGTTCGAGTTTCTGATTGACAATATTTACTGAGTATATGTGTTTTGGAGTTCGGGTCTTCCAAAAGTCTGTCAAAATTTCCATGGGTACTAATTGCGCCCCGTTATTAGGAGACATATTTTTGTATTCATATCACAGATTTCAGAATCACGGATATACTGGTAGCAGAATCACGGAAATCATGATATAACGATAACGTGTATCATTATATCAGAATCACAGATAGCAAGACATCAGAATATTCCCCTAAAAAAATCAGAATACCCGGTATCAGATTTTCTACAAATGGAGTTCAATAATGAATATAACAAGAGGCCCATGGGCCACATCGCTCACCTGAGTAACTTTGGTGATGCAGTTCTTTACCAGATTTCCCCTCTTCTTATATCTATTGCGCCCCTCACCCCCAAACCCCCCGTCTTGATTGTAATAATTTAGAATCTACACTACCCCAGGATGCTTCCACCTAGGTTTCAGCTTTCCTGACCCACTAGTTCTTGAGAAGATTTTTCCTATATATTTCTATGTAAAACTTGGATTCGTGATCTTAACAATTTAGAATCTACACTACATCAGGATGCTTCCACTTAAGTTTTAGCTTTCCTGGCCCACTGGTTCTTGAGAAGATTTTAAAAGATTTTTCCTTTATATTTCTATGTAAAATATGATTCCCTATTGTGGCCCCGCCCTACCCCAGGGTCACGATTTTAACAAATTTGAATCTACACTACCCAAGGATGCTTCCACATAAGTTTCAGCTTTCCTGGCCCAGTGGTTCTTGAGAAGAAGATTTTTAAAGATTTGTTCTATATATTTCTATGTAAAACTTGGATTCCCTATTGTGGCCCGGCCCTACCCCCGGGGGTCATGACTTTTACAATTTAATATCTACACTATCCAAGGATGCTTCCACATAAGTTTCAGCTTTCCAGGCCCAGTGGTTCTTGAGAAGAAGATTTTTAAAGATTTGTTCTAGATATTTCTATGTAAAACTTGGATTCCCTATTGTGGCCCCGCCCTACCCCTGGGGGTCATGATTTTAACAATTTAATATCTACACTACCCAAGAATGCTTCCACATAAGTTTCAGCTTTCCTGGCCCAGTGGTTTCTTGAGAAGAAGATTTCTATAAAGATCTTTCCTATATATTTCAATGTTAAACTTGGATCCATATCGTGACCCCACCATACCCCTGGGGGTCATGATTTTAACAATTTAATATCTACACTACCCAAGGATGCTTCCACATAAGTTTCAGCTTTCCTGGCCCACTGGTTCTTGAGAAGAAGATTTTTTAGTGACCCCACCCTATTTTTGTCTTTTCTTGATTATCTCCCCTTGTAAGGGGACTTGGCCCTTCATTTTAATAATTTAAACTCCCCTTCACCCAAGGATGCTTTGTACCAAGTTTGGTTAAAATTGGCCCATTGGTTCTTGAGAAGAAGTCGAAAATGTGAAAAGTTTACAGACGGACGAACAGACGGACGGACGGACGGACAGACGGACGGACGACGGACAAAATGTGATCAGAAAAGCTCACTTGAGCCTTCGGCTCAGGTGAGCTAAAAAAAAGGTTCTGGATGAAAAATAATACAAAGTAACCAATTATAAGTGGGAAACTTTACATACATTTCAACCGAATAAAAGATATTAGCATTACAAATGAAAAGTCAACGCTATATAAAACAAGAGGCCCATGGGCCACATCGCTCACCTGAGTAACTTAGGTGATATAGTTCTTTAGCATATTTCCCCTCTTCTTATACATGTACCTATCGTGCCCCCTACCCCCTCCCCTTACATGATTTTGATATTTTAGAATCTACACTACCCAAGGATGCTTCCACATAAGTTTCAGCCTTCGGCTCAGGTGAGCTAAAAATACAATTTAATGCAAATGGTTTTGATTTGTTAATAAATGAATGAGTATTTGAGTATAAATAAAGTATATTTTTATAAAATCGGATCCCACAAAACGTAATTTTCAGATCTAGATTTGCCTGATATTTTGTTGTTGTTGTTGTTGTTGTTGTTGGGTGAAGGTAAATGTCACGAAAGAGAAGGAGGACTCGAAAGGGTGAGGTGGGGGTGTCTTTACATCTGAATCAGAACTTCAGTTACTTCTAGTATTAAAACTTTATTTAAATGCCAGAATTGCCGGTGTAAAGACGAATAATGACCCCCATCGAATAATGACCGGGGGTCATTTTTCGACAACAAAAAATGACCCTTTTGCCCGTAGAAAAAGTGTCACCACCCTCAAAATTTGCAGAACCTACGTGAAGAAAAATGACCCCCGTAGAAAAATGACCCCTGTGGATTAAAGCTGAATTTTTTAGGGGGCAAAAAAATTAGATAAAGAAGCATATTGGCCAGAATGCTCACCTGAGCTAATTGGGAATAAATTGATGATATGTTCATCTCATAACATTATACAACTAGAGGTACTGTGAGCGATGAGCTCACTAAATGATACCCCCCGCCTCCCCTATGGTTATAAGTGGTGAAAAAGTCCATGTTTTCCTGTGGCCGGGAAACCCAAAATATGTGTCGGATCAAAAAGTAAAATAGGAGGTGCACAATGGCAATATGTAATAAAGATTCTGTGAAAGTTTCATCAAATTTCATTCAGTGGTATGAGAGGAGTTACGGATAAGAGATAGGTACCCCAAAGCGTAACAGACGGACGGACAGACAGACAGACGGACGGACGGACGTACAGACGGACGGACGGACGGACGGACGGAATTAACGATTACTATATACCCTCCCGCTTTTCAAGCGGGGGGTATAATTAAAGCTTTATTTTAAGGTCGATGCGATGATTCAGAATCTAAAGGAGTAAAAGATTTATCGAGCCTAAAGGGTTAGGTAAACATTGTTTTCGATGGTGGAAATCATCGTACTGACAGAAAAAATCAGCAGTATTATATATTATTGTATCCTCCGCTTGAAAAGCGGGAGGGTATATAGTGATCGGGATGTCCGTCTGTTACGCTTTGGGGTATCCATCTCTTATCCGCAACTCCTCTTATGTATAAAAAAGATGTGTTTGTGAAACAGCTTGTTACAACGCACTTTGAAAAATTACGCACTTTGAAAAAATTTTTCAAAGTGCGTTAAAATTTGGGACCAAGCTAACGCACTTTGAAAAAAATATTTTTTTTTCAAAGTGCGTTAACATCGACCATATTAACGCACTTTGAAAAAAAATGTAAAGATTGATCAATATTCCTTCAAATAATCGGTATGATAAAAAACAGATTCTGGTTTGATAATTTTTTCATGATAAAGTCGAAGTAGGACCTGAGATATTGACGTTTTAAATATTTAAGGTTTTGATAAAATAAAAGGGAAAATTAAAGGGTCTTGAAAAAAAGAGTGACGATTGTTTAAGTTCATTAATTCGTTTCTTCTTTTTTTTTTAATTCTAGTCTTTGATAAGTAGATGTAAAGGTGTATAGGGGGCACTAACAGAGGACAGCTTCAAGCAACTTAGCATTTATCATGATAAAAAGGGGCCAATTTGATTGTTCAAAACTATGAAAATTCTTTCTCTCTCATACGTTTTACTGTACTTAAAAATTTCTTGTTTTCATCTGTTTTAATTAACTCATTTATTATTGAAAGTTTTCAACGTCATACCAGTTAGGTAAATACATAATTATATTAATGCTTTGAGTATAGCATAGACATCGAGAATGGGCGAAGGGCCAGGGGATGGGATGGGGGGCTAAGCCCCCCACTTATTTTGGAAAGATATATACATCGTATAAGCACTGAAAATGCAGGGTACCCTTTTTAGGTTTATTGCTCCCCTCCCCCGTTTGTTACC